AAAGGATATAAAAAGGGAAACGCTGAACAAAGGGCATAGATACTAACCAGACCTGTTTCTTTCGTTCCCACCTGCTCGTGTGAAGAAATTTTATTATTTTATCCAAATTCTATGTCTCTGTGTATTTCTTTCTGAGATTTCTGCAACATCAAAATAAAAAGTACTTCGTGAATCCATAAATTAGAAACTTAAACTTGATTAAGGGTGTCTATGAAGAAGGTACACCTAACATTGTGCCTATTGATAAATGAACACTTTCCAACTAAGATCAGGAACAAGACAAGAAAGTCTGTTCTCACCATTTGTTTAATACTGTGTAGGTGACAAGTAGATAAGAAAAAGAAATAGAAACAAAGAGTATCCAGATTCAAAAGGAAGAGGTAGGGCCAGAGGTTTAGCTCAGTGGTTCGGGCGCCTGCCTTGCAAGCGCAAGGTCCGAGTTCAATCCCTGGCACCAAAAAAATTAATTAATTAATTAAAAGGGTTTTTTTTCCCCGTAAACAAATATGCACAGATTGGAAGACTTAAACTGTTAAAATGGCAATACCCCTGGATTGATCTGTGGGTTGAACATTATCCTTGATAACATTTAAGCTCCCTTTCTGCATAGACTGACAATTATGTTCCTACAATCCCCGAGGAGATAAAAAGGATTCAGAATGGCCAAGATGACCTTGAAAAAGAATGAAGTTGGAGGTATCACAACATCAGATTTTAAAATGTAAAAACAAAGCCATGGTAGTGAAGACAGCAGTACCACAGCACGAGGCTAGCTGTTCAGGTCTGTGGACTCAGACTGAGAGTCTAGACATGAACATTCCCATATATGAGCAGTTGGTTTTCAACAAGGGTGCTGATTCAGTGAGAAAAAGAAATCTGTTCAGTGACTGGGATTGGGATAACAATATTCACATACATGAAGAGTGAAATTGGACCCCCATGTAATACCATGTACAAAACTAACCCAAGGCCTGGGGATGTAGTTCAGTGCTACAGTGCTTGCCTAACGTGTGAGAAGATTTGGGTTTGATCCCCAGCACTGCAGGAGCAAGAGCAAAAACAAACTTGAAATAGATCATAAGACTGTACAATTCTTACCTGAGCAAATCTTTGTGACCTTGGGTTAAGAAATGATTTTTTTTCACATTTGCATCAAAAGCATAAAGACAAAAGAAAAATATACAAATTGTACTTGATCAAAGTTAAAAACTTTTGAAAAACTATGAGAAAAGAAAAAAAATGGAAATGAAATCTATGTAAATAGGGAAGGGTGGAGGGGGTGAAGGGTGCACAGGGAATGGGGAAAAAAATAAGAACCAAGATCCATCATGTACAGGTACAAGCACCCAATGATAAATGTAAATGAATTGTATACCCAAAGTGTACCAATAAAATGTACCCATAAAAAAAAAAAAACTTCTGGGTCGGGGATGTAGCTCAGTGGCGCCGTGCCTGCCTGACAAGCCCCAGGTCCTGAGTTCAATCCCGGTACAGAAAACAAAAACAAAAACAAAACCCCCAAATTTAAAACTTTTGTGCTTCAGAGGATACCCACAGAATGGGGGAGAAATGTTTGCATATCATATAACCAAAAAAGAGATTTGCGGGCCGGGGATTTACCTCAGTGGTTCCGCTGCCTGCCTCGCAAGCGCAAGGTCCTGAGTTCGATCCCTGGTACCAAAAAAAAAAAAACCACACACACACACAAAAAGAGATTTGCAAAATAATTCTGTTTACAATTTAATAAAGATGAAATGAGCGTAATAATTAATTTTTTTTTTTTTACAAATTTACTTTTTTTTTTTTGATACCAGGGATTGAACTCAAGACCCTGTACTTGTGAGGCAGGCATGGCGCCACTGAGCTACATCCTCGGCACAAATTGACTTTTATAATATCTTGAGTTATAGGTGTGATAATTAATCTTGATGGTCAATTTGATTGGCTTGACAGATGCCTAGGAAGTGAGTAAAGCCACTTGTGAGTGTGGCAGCGCAGTGGTGGCACTTGACCCTGAGGGGTGTAGCTGGTCTCTGGCGCTTCCTGGCTCTCGTCCTGCTCTCTCTGCTCCCTGGCTGTCTTGTGGGGAGCAGCTTTCCCCCGCCATGCTCTTCAACATGATGCTTCTGCCTTGCACCCGCTTCTGTAGACTGAAACTTCTGAAATTGTGAGCCAAAAATAAATCTTTTCTCCTTTAAGTTGTGTATGTCAAGTATTTTTAGCCCAGTGACAAAAAGCTGATACAAAGGGTAAAGTATCTGACATTCCTTTTTTTCTTCGTACCGGGGATCAAACTCAGGACCTTTCACTTGTGAGGCAGGCAGCAGAACCACTGAGCTAATCCCCGGCCCCATAAGGTAAGGTATTTGAGTAGGCATTTCTCCAAAGAAGGTACCTGAGTGGTCAAAAAGCACATGAAGAGATGCTGAATGCTACTAGTCATCAGGAAAATGATAATTTAAAAAATTGAGATACTATTCTACACAAAAGCAAGTGTTGGCAAGAATGTGGAGAAATTGTCAACATTATACCTTGCTGGTGAGAATTTAAAATGGTGAAAAACATCCTGGCAGTTCCTCAAAATTAGAGTTACCAAATGACCCAGCAATTCTGCTTCCCTGTACCCGAGGGAAATAAAAGAACAAATATTCACACAGAAACTTGTAGAAGCATTATTCATGATAGCCAAAAAGTGGAAACAACCCAAATACGCATCAAAGACAAAAAGGTAAAAAACATAGTAAAGCCATACAGTGGAATTTTTTGGCCGTAAAAGTTAAGAATTACTGATACATGCTACGATATGGGTGAATCTTGAAAACATTGACGTAAGTGGAAGAAGTCATTCACAGATGCCACATATTGTATAATTCCATTTATGTGAAATGTCCAGACAGGCAAATCTGTAGAGACAGGAAGTTGGTGATTGGCTGGGCCTGGGATGTTGGGTGTGATGCAGGTTCAAGGATCAAGGGCAGAGTGACTGTGGTGAGTACAGAATTTCTTTTTAGAGTGAATAAAAATGTTCAAACTCGATTGGGGTTACAGTTGCTCTGCTCTGTATGTATAGTAGAAGCCATTGTGTTGTACAATTGAAATTGGTGGATTGTAGAGCATGGCATGTGAATTATGTCTCAGTCAAGTTTGTGTGTATGTACAGGACATATGGAACATCAGATGCTTTCGAGTACTAGGAGACAATAGGAAAGGGAGATAAGAACAGCTCGGGCCTCAGGTTGGAGTTTTATTTTATTTTGTTTCAAAGTGCTGGAGATTGAACCAGGTGCATGCTAGGCAAGTGTTCTGTCACTGAGTTCCATCCCCAGCTCCAAAGGTTGAACGTTCAAATGGGAAGATCATAGTAGGAATCCTTGAGGAGATGTTGTGTGAATAAGACTCTCTGAAAGAGGTGAGGTGGTGGGTTAGGTGGGTGCTAGCCAGGGAAGAGCTCTCTGGGATGCCTGGATTTGGATGTGGGGTTCATCACTGCCCATATATATGACCTTGGGAAAGTTATTTAATAGCATTATGCCTCAGTTTCTTTGTGTGTAAAATAGGAATAAATAATATCTCTTTCAAAAGGTTATCATGGAGATTAAATGACTAAAGAAAAAGAATGTAAAACACTCAGAACAGTTCACTTGCTCAGAGTAAAAGGCTTTAGTTTTTTTTTTTCATTTTCTACTACAAGCACACGACCCTTGCATGCTAAGACGAAGCTTGCTTGGAATATGGGGTAAGACGGAGGCCAGGTGGGGCTAGTGTGGAGGGCACAGGAGGGAGGAGTGTAAGCAGAAGGCTTGTGGTTTTTCTCTGTGAGAAGGGAAATCAGTGGAAAATTTTGAGCAGAGAAAAGACAAGATCTGATTCATGTTTTAATACCATCTCTCTGGCTCCTGTGCTGAAAATATAGTGGCCCCTGCATAAACGTTGTGAATTGGTTCTAGACCACCCCAATAGCAAAATCTGTGCATGCTTGAGTAATTTATACAAAATGGCATATAACGTACACACATCCTCCTGTATATTTTTTTCAAGTCTGTCTCCTTCTGCCTGTATACTTTAAATAACCTCAAGACACCTGATGCAGTGTAGATGCTATGTAAATAACTGTCATACTGTATCGTTTAGGGAACAATGACAAGAGAAAAAGGTTGTGCATGTTCGGTACAGATGCAAAACTTTTTCCTATTTGAAATTTACTCTTAGTTGAATCCATAACTCAGATATGGAGGGCTGACTGTATAGCGAAAGAGGAAGAGAGTGTAATCAAGGAAAACAGTTCTGAGCCATTGTACTGCATGTGAGAGAGGGAGGCGGTAAGCAGTTCTGCTTTGAAGATAGATCCAACAAGCTCTATTGAGGGGTTGAAATACTGGGTGTGAGAAAGAGATTGCAGTGATCTCAACAATTTTCAGAATTCATTTGTTGAGATGATGTCGGCTGACAGGGACTTTTTGGATAGGGTAGGCAAAGAAGGGAAAGCAAGTGGAGAGGGATCAGGATTTATACAGTGGACATGTTAAACTCGAAATATCTGTTACACATTCAAGTGGGCCGACGCTCAGGGGAGAGGTTAGGATTGGAAAGAGGATGAATCAGTGATTCTTTCATACTATTTATTGAAATCCTACTCCGTGCCAGGTTCTATTCTGGGCTCTGGAAATACACTTGAGAATGCGGACAAGCTCTGAGGCAGCTTAATGGTAAACCAGGTCATCAGTTAGCAGTCAAGCAAAGTAACGTAAGCCATATGAGCTCTCCATATGAGACACAATGTACAACTGTTACTGTTTTTAATGCTCGGGGTATTGCAACTGCCCCTTGTTGAGATCTATGGTAGGAGCGCCCCCTTTTCCCATCCAGGGTCTGCGTCAGTATGAACCAGGTACATAGCTCAGCAAAAGGAGAGCGCCGCGCAAGCGCAGTCTCAGTCTGGCGTCCTAGGAGATGGACTCGAAAAGCTTCTGCGCAGGCGTAATTCATCAGACTGAGGGCGCCTGAGCCCGGAGTTGGGCGGGGAGAGCTCGGAGAGCGCCTGCGCATTGGGTGCTCTCGCCAAAGGAGCCGCAGTCTCGAGAGCGCCAAGGAGGTTTTCGACGAGTCTCTGACCAGCCTCTCCCGCGAACCCGGGGTTGCTGGGTTGCACCCCGTCGGGGCGTCCGCCGGGCACGGGAGGGGGCCACCATGCCGGTAAGCAGAGCCGCTGGGCCGCTGAGGTTCCTCCTCATCCCCGCGGCCTGGCTCGGGGGCGCGGCCGTTGCCATAGAAGCGCGGAGCCAGCGGGCGGCAGGGTGGGGCGGGGCAGGGCGGGCCGGGACAGGACCGGGCCGGGGCGGCGGGCGAGGTGGAGGCGGGTGGGTCGGGGCCGCGGGGTCGGCCCGCTTCGGGAGGCGCCCGGAGCAGGCCGTCTGGCCGGCGTCCCGTCCCCGCGGCATGCCGTCCCGGGGGTCTGCGCGCTTTGCCATGGAGGCGGGTGCCGGAGGATGCGCTGCAGCTCACGCCCGGCCGGCACTGGCTCCCGGGAGGCCGGGCCGCGGGGTCCTCGGTGTCGGTGGGGCGAGGCTGCCAGCCCTCGGTCCAGGCCCCTGACCCCCCTGTCCTGGGCTCCAGCTGTCAGTCACTCCTCGAGGGGCGCTGTGGCTTGCGTGCGGAGTGTACGCCTAGTGCCTTTCTGTGTGGATGGTATGGCAGTGGCAGTAGAGGTGCTTTATCTTCCAGGATCTCAGGGATTTTACTGTGCCCTTCGTAAGGGGCATCGTGAGTCCAGGAAAGGGCCAGGGAGAAAACTTGAACCTTGGAGAGTTACTTATCGGTTGTGAGGCCCTGGCTGGGCCCTTAGTTCACACATAATTAAACTTTCTCCTGGAATTGTTCAGAGTGAAGTAAGATAATACCCAGGAAAGGTAAGAGCAGCGCTTGGCGTTTAGCATTAAATGCTCCTTGCCTCTTTTCGTTGCTTTCAAGTTATTCATTCAGTACATATTGGTCACCAAGCGCATGTTAGGCCCTGGAGATACAATATTGAGCAAAATCAACCACGTCCTTGAGCTTGGAAAGAGAGAAGCTTGTCTTCTCAGAAAAAAAAATATGTCCACAGAGATAAGGCACAGCCTCAGTGAATGAAGTGTTGAGTGCTTACAGTAGACATGGGTTCTGTGAACTGGAAGGCGTTGCCATGTCTGATAAGCTGGCCTGCAGATATCAGATCATATTTTTTTTCCAAGAGAGTTTAGAAGTTGTTATAATTGCTAAATGTCTCAATTTTAGCAGTTAAAATACTTGAAGATACTTACGAGCCAAACAAAAATTTATGGGCTGAATCCTGCCCTTGACTACTTGTTTGCATCTTTGGTGTACCAAGAGAGGATAGATATTAATCAACAAAAATTGTGAAACTGAGTCCTTGGAGAGGAGAGCCGGGTGCTTTCACAGCCCATAAAAGCATCTGACCTAGTCAGGGAAGGGTTCCCAGATGAAACGGCTGTTGAGCTGAGATCTGGAGGGTGAGCATGTTACATAAATGAAGAGAGATTTGGAGGATGTTCCACAGTGGGAGGAGCTGCCCGTGGCAAGGCCACTGATGAGAAGGAGCATGGTAACTAGAGAAAACCATGAAACCCACAGCCATGGGTGGCTGTGGCTGAACAACAAGCAGAGTATCTTGGGGGATAAGCTTGGAGAAGTAGACACGGGTGGGAGCTAGATCTCACAGACCCAACTCAAGTTTTTCTTATTTATCTCAAGATCTATGGGAAACTATTGAAGAATGTTCAGTAGGGAAGTGATGTAAGATTTGTGTTGAAACTGACTGCCATGGGGAGGACAGACTGCAGGTCTATCTAATAAGATGAAGTTAGAAGGCTGGCTGTACAGGGCCCAAGCGATATTGACCCGAACTAGGGTGAGGAAAGCAGAGATGGGGAGAAGACTATTGTATTGATATTATCTGTTGTCAGTCACAGTGTCAAAGCAACAGCATGGCTTATACTTATTTCTCTTTAATGCTTGAAAAAATGTATGAAACAATAGACATTTAATAAATATTTGTTCAACTAAAGTATTGAACACAATAATAGGTTGTTGGATTGGGGATTTAGCTCAGTAGCACCGCGCCTGCCTGGCAAGCGAAAGGTCCTGAGTTCGATCCCCGGAACCAAAAAAAAAAAAAAAAAAAAAA